TCAACTTTCAATTTACAATACTTTGGTGTATGCAAGGGTTAGTGTCTTCAAAATTCCCTTTTGCAGTAAATTAAAATCCTTTTATCACCTGTTTGCCACTATTTTTGATAGTTGGCATGAGATTCTCATGCTCAGCTGTTTAGTTTAGTTTTCTCCAAACAGGTTACTGTGCATTATGGGTAAAACAGCATGTTTTAAGGTTTGTTGTTTCTGCAGCTTTTCAACCATTTAAGAGAGCATAGAGTTTTCTCCTGACATCCCCTCTGAAAAAGCAACACAAATGTATTTTTTTTCTATAGTAACTTTAATTTTGATTTAAACTAAACTTTCCCCATTCAAACTGAGACTTCTTTGGTATGAGCTTACAGTGTGTGTGTTGGGATGTCCCGCTCAGTCCCCACTGAGTGACAAACTTGAAGTTGTTTTTAAATTGTATTTGCAATGTTTGGTGAATTGACTGGCAGCAATTTGGATCTAGAACAGGAAACCATCAAAGCTGTACTGCAAAAACAGATCAAAGTTACTGGTATTCCCAAATGACAGCAGAATTTTTATTTTGTAATCGATCGATCCCTTAGGGAGCAGCTTTTATATGGGGTGAATTATATTCCGTTATTGTTTCAAGTAAAGAACACGTTTTGTAAATGAAATTTTAAAAAATGTAAAAATCAAAAATGAAGCTTTAAGTGTTTTAATCAAACAAAGATTTTCAGAGTAACTTCGCTGGTTGTTTTGTTTTTTTATTAAATTTATTTTTCATAGTTTATTTTTGTCAAATGCTATTTTTTTAACTTAGTTTTTAAAAGACATTTTGTTAAAATCTTCATATTTTGAAATTGCATTTTTAATTTTTTTTATTTGTTTTTCAAATTTAGTTAAATTAATTGTATTTATTTGAAATTGCATGTTAAGGAACTGCATAGATGTTACAAAGAAAACTGTAGTTGTTAACGTGCCTATCAAGAGCACGTTAAGGAGAGTTTCATTCCAGGATTAATTTATAAAATTCATAAAAAGTTTTTTTTTTTTTTTTTTTTTTTTTTTTTTTTTTTACAAATCTCCATTAACAAAATGTCTTGTTTGCTTGGAGGACTATTGGAACAAAATTCACTCCATACTTGCAGCCCCTAGGCAGAAATTTAGGGTTAAGGGTGACAGTCTGTTGGTCTTAAAAAGGCAACCAATCTGTTATGACAATAAATAAATTAAAGCACAATATGAGGAGTAGACAAAGAGCTGCTTAGAAACTACAAAAAAAAAAAAAAAATCTGTAATATCCTTATTTTTATGTATAAAGGGGAAACTGTATATTATTGGCTTTATTTGCTCCATCAGTTCACTTTGGTTATTTTCATTTGATTCAAATGTTAAGGCAAACTCTGAACATTCACTTACACATTCATCCATGCACGTCTTTTTAAATACATAATAAGACAGAAATGTTTAAACACAGAGCTGTTCCCCACCGTTATCTATGAATAGCCTGCAGGAGTAGAGTTTGACCACAGGGTGGTGCCATGTTGAAGAGGAAGTGTACTGTAGGAAGATGTTTTCTAACCATTGCCTCATTGATCTTTTAAATGTTGCTGCAATCTTGCGAAAATGACAGCCTGATTCAAGCGTTGCTGCTGTAAAAATTATTCAGTGCTTAAAAAAAAAAGATTTTTTTAAAGTAAGTTTAAATAAGCTTCTTCCAAACCATGGGTGGTTCTAGACAGGGAAGAACAGGGGCCAATGGGGGCCAGGGCCTCTGTAGAACTGATCCTGGCTTGTTAAGATCCCTGTCCGTAAGACGTAATGTTAAATAAATGTTTTATGATGATAACCACTGCCGTTGTAACAAACTGATCATTGTAACTATTTTTTTTTACTTTACAGTTTGTTTTAACTCAGGCCCTCCCTAATAGTGACTCCTAAGAAGTAGAAGAAAATTGAGAAAATGATAATATAGACGTTATGGACAGCTTTCTTCCTGAAGTAAATGATGAGCTTTTCAGTAATGGGTTTGGCTTGATTTGACAGTAAAAACAACAAACAGAATAAAAATTTTCATAGATTTTCCATTTGGGGCTGACTGAGTGAGAACAATGTGACGATGTTTGTCTGTCTGTGTCCGACAGTGACGGAGATGCTGGTCAACGTCCTGAGCATCTGCTCAGACGATGAACTCATGGACGGAGAGGAAATCTATGACGGTGAGACACATTAAGCAGCTGCTGGAAGAATCAAAGCTATTTGCTCTACAACTTTAAGATCTATATGTTGTTTTTTTTACAGCCAGTGCAGCAGCAGCGAGGAAAGAGGTTATCAAGAATAAAATCCGTGCCATCGGGAAGATGGCCAAGATGTTCTCTGTGTTACGGTGGGTCAGGTCTCCCTCAATCATACAGCAGGGAGGGGGGGCTTCCTGGGTCTGGAGTAGAGGGGCAGCCCTGTAACAGTTCCAACTATATTCATTTTTTTTATTTTTTTTTTACAAAAACAGTATTGTAAAGAAATTAGGGCTGCAGCTAACGATTATTTTGCAAATTGATTAATCTGTTGGTTATTTTTTTTCTCGATTACTCGGATAGCAAAATGTTCCCTAAAGAAGCCTATTTGTTAAATTAAACCAGGTGAAAATAAAACTTTCTCTATCAAGAAATCCTGAATACTGATGGATGAAAATGTTTTAAATTTTAAATGCAAAATTTTTACTTTTTCACAATTTTGCTATAATTACTGCTCTAAGTAGGTTGATCTGTCAGCTAAAAGCCTGTTTTATAGTCTCTATACTCCAGTTAAACATTAATCTATTACTAAATTAGTTGACTATTAGATCAATAATCAAATAATCTCAATTAATCCGATTCATTGTTTCCTCCCTAAAAGAAATACATAAGCTTGATATCTAAGTTAAATAAATATTCTATTCTAACGTGAAACAAACAGGTGAAGCCTACTTCTGATCACTCTATGCCGGCCGTCACCAGTGTTTGTGCGTTAATGGGGCTTACAAACCCAGTGGCTTTTGTCATCTGTTGTTTATCTTTGTTAGATGGTTATAATATGGACTGTTCCAAAAGGCATCAGCAAGAGGCTGCATTGTTCCTAATTTGATCTAAAATGGCTGCACCTGCAGGCTGGAGGTTAACGTGTCACTTAAGCAGAAGTCTAAAAAAAGGAATAATTTGCTCTGCAGCAGGTATGGAAACCCAGAAGTGCCACAAATTCATTACATTGAAAAGGAGTCATATTTATATTTTTAAATGTGAAAATTTCAATGTGACTGGCATATATTTGTTATTATTCAAATTATTAGTAATTATGTTTTACATATTTTTACTAAATTACCACATGCAGAGACAGTGATTTATTTTATTGCCTCATTTCACAAACTCAATCATACCTGTCAGGTTTTGAATTTAAAAATACGAGAAATTTACAACATCCACTGCGAGCCGTTCGACTACCCCATTTAAGCTCCAGTATCCATTATACTTTTACACTGCAAAAACGATTTAGAAATAAATAAACATTTTAAAATTAAGTGTATTTACCCTTAATTTGAGTAGGTAAATAAGAGGATTTGCCAATGAAATTAGTATATTTAGTCTTAAAGTAAGATAATAAGATAATAATAATCTGAACTTGAAATAAGACAATGCAATAGTTTTTTCTTATTTTGAATGTAAATGTCTTGTTCCATTGGCAAAGTGTCTCACTTTCGTCCTCAATTCGATAAAAAATGCACTTATTTTAAGAAAAAAATGACTTACTTAGATTTCCATTTTTTGCAGTGTAGACATGTGCACAAGAAACCTAAAACAAACCAGTTACAAACTACATTAAGGTAATCAGATTTTGACTTGCGATTCCAGCGACAGTTCTGTTCATAGCGACAGATCAATGTTTTTCAAATATAATTTTATTATACAATAATACGGGAAATTTACAGGAAATTGCTAATATGGGAGGAAAGTGGGAAGGACAGGTAAAATACAATCAAAACAAGAGACTTGACACCTGAACTCAATTCATTCTTTCTGTGAGAAAGTCAGTCATGATGACGTGGGTTTGTAAGGTCATCTGCAGCTGTCTTTCAAAATAAGCGTTAGCACAGGAAGCTGAACAAAATATGAAAAGAAAATTCAGTTTTAGTAATGTAAATGTTATTGTTGGGGAACCATATCTTTCCATTTTGTCCCGTGCCCAGCCCAGGCTGTCAGCTGCCATGCATTTATTTTTATTTCTGTGTGGAGGTTTACAAATTGCTTTTCTTCCTTAACTTTTACAGGAATCCAACTGTCACCACATTTCTTTTTTTATAACTTCTGTATTTTCTAAATGTTTCATTTTAGGTGTGCAGGTGTGAAAGAGAGGAAGTGTGTAGTTCGCTGAAAATCTCTCACCTGTTTCTTCCTTTCTTATGCCTCCTTGTCTCTCTCTTCTTCCCAGGGAGGAGAGCGAGAACGTTTTAACCCTGAAGGGACTGACTCCCACAGGCATGCTGCCCAGTGGGGTCCTGTCCGGGGGCAAGCAGACCCTGCAGAGTGGTGAGCGTTTTACATACACGGCAGCCCTACACAGCCATCTACAGAGGAGGTCAAACCTGTGGAGGTTTTACATTTTGTCATGTTACAACCAAGAACACATTTTATTTGTGATTTTATATGAACATTATACATTTTTCCAAAATGTGGATTGAAAAGTGTGACATTAATTTGGTCTAAACCCTTTTTGCAGTGATATCCTTAGATTAAATCCTGAACAACCACTAGAAATAGAGTTGATTTGTGTAGATTTTGGCTTTTAGAGAATATAACTGAAAAAGAAAATAGCATCACAAGGAACACAGCCGGCGGGCTGTTTAAAGTCTGGTAATGCATTCAAATTGATACCACACTTTAAACATATCACAGATCAGAAAAGAGAATCTACTGAGAAGCGCTTTATAAGATACACGTCCAAGCTCTGAGTTACTCTGGAGGAGCAGCAGAGATCCACATCTCAGGGTAGAGGTTTGATCAACTGGATTAATTATTATCTTCAGAATTTACTATCAAGCAACCGCTCAGGAGGAAAAACGCAGTTAAAAGAGATAGACTTACACTTATACTTAGACTCAACTTTATTTATTCCTTGGGATTACTCCTTCAGGGAAGTTCTTGTTCCAGTAGCTTATATAGAGCTCAAAAGGCAGAGTTAAAGCAAGATGCCATTAAATATACAGCAGACACTATAAAAAGAGTGTTTATAGTACAAGAGAGCATAACAAAATTATAATGTCCTGGAATATGTTTCCTTTAGATATAAAGATATAATATAGTATAATTTAGCCTTAGTGGCATCCATTATAAAAGGGACCACAAAGCATGCTGGAGACCAGAGGTTCCACTAGGCTTTTTCTCAGCCTGTCATTTTAATAGTAAACGTCTAATAAATTCTGTCATAATCTATTTTCCCTATCATTTTATATTTGTTAATGATAATAATTAAAGCATTTATTTTCAAACAGATGAATATGGGTACCTTTTTCTCTGCAGTAACAACAAACATTCTCACAGCATCCTCCTGCCTCACATGGACCTAAATTGATATGAATTGTACGCCCACTTGTCTGTAATTACATGGCTCAAGTTGGATACCTGCAGAGGCTTTTGAATCAAACAGATCACTTCTCATCAATGTTTTTCTGTTTTTACTCTGCCACCTCACTAGAGATTGGAATTAGATGAACCACTTTAGCCAAAGCTGAAAAATGTGGGAAAAATTTCACCAAGT